AGCAAGGGACTCAGTTACAGTGGTGATGGGGGCACCATTGGAAGACCTGTAAGACCAGGTTGGGGACATATCATCACGGAAGAAATCTATGCGGTCACTAAGAGTCAAAATTGATGTGATGTCACATGATTGAATCAATCAACTGACCCAAAGACAACATTCAGAGAGAGCCTTTGACTCTTCAAAAGTATCTCCTTTGCCAAGTTGCAACCTCAGACTAGGGACTTCAGCAAGATAAACTGTAAAATGGCAAATGGCCCAATATGTAACAGGGTGTCTGGTCCATGTGTGTTTCTGGACTTGGTCATCAAGGAGTACCAGCTTGTATATTTGCAAGTATGTAAATTCAACTTTTGCTTGAATAATGACAAAGGACAGCTGCGTAGAATGTCAACTAACCATGACGACAAAGACTAGGAATCTAGTCTTCTCTAAAACATATGCTTCCTTTTCCTTCTGAGAATTCCATAATTCACTTTTTACATTCCCAGATTATTCCATGTTCTTCCAGGGAAAACCCTATTTTGTTTTTCGGGGATCCCTGGCTTTACAGCTCCTCCTTCCAAATTTGTTCAGGAAGAGACAAACTCACAGATACCAGGAACCCAGAGGTCACACCGAGTAGAAATACAAAGCTAAGCCAGTTTATGGCCGGGTCCCGTTGTTTAATGGGTTCAATTCTAATTCAAAAAAGACACACTGCCGGTTAGTTCTGCGGTTGCTTCCAGGCTCATCATGCGTTTGCTCAGTACTTACACAACGGAGCAATTGGAACGGAATGAAAGCTTACCCACCCCCTGCTGGGAATAGGAACTGTCTAAAATTAAGGCCCATTAGAATGAGCAGGAAGAATCTAATTTCAGACAGAGCCAGAAGACGAAAATACTTTAAAAAATGCAGGCAAGGAGGAAGCCACTAATTCAAAACTTAGAGCAAAAAGTAAGCCTTTTAATGAAATGGGGCTTGCTTCTACTGAAAAAAACCCCACACACATTGGACAAGCATTGCTGGATTAAAAACCGGGGAAGAGAACTGGCACAATATAAAAACCATGGCAGACCTGAAAAAATAAAACAATTCAGCCGGACAGGAGGCAGGCCCTGAGCCAAACTCATAAAAAGCCTATCACTGTTCAGAGGGTTTCGCTCCACAGGCTACTTCGAGCAACATGGTAGCAGTGACCCTGTCTGGTGGGATCTCATTTGCCCCTCCAAGGGGTCGCAGATGCCTTGGGCTCTCGCGTGCTTCCCCGGTCTTAAGACAGACCAAACCCTTTCTCTCCGCTTCGCCCCCAGAAGCCGAGGGCAGAGAGCAAGTGGAAGGGCTGAAGGGTGCAGCCAGGAAGATGCGCCCAGCTGGTTTCATTCCCTTGGCCAGAAGGCTCTACGGGAGGGACAACAGCCATCAGGAACTGGAGGGTTAGGGTCAAAAGATACTTTTCACTGTCCACCTTGGCACAGCTGGTCCAAAGGGGATCTGCCCCATTGCATGTTCTTCTAAAAAAGGTTTGAGGCTGGCTGCTAAGACTGTCTGGGGTGGCATATCAATGGTTTGACCCAGCAGAAGGCAGCTGCAAATGTCAACAGAGAGCTGCAAGAGGTCGCAGAGAGAACTGATGGCCTTGCTAAGAACCACATTGCTTTGAGAAAATATCCTTGAGAAGGTCTCAGAGGACCATCGTGTGCTCCTGCATCTAAGTGCAAACGTATGCACACTCCTTCAGTCAAGGCATCTGTGCTGGTTCCAAGCCAGCACTGGCGGGTTACAAGAAGAGGCCCTTTCTGGTAGAAACGTCTTTTTTGTCAAAGCTCAGGGGGCCTTCTGAAAGAAGCTAATTCCTGCTTCCTGATCAATTGTAGTTCGAATTTCCAGAGATGGCTTTTAACAACTGATAACCCCAGGAGATTCAGCCTTCACAGTCAGAGGATTTTAGGCTGAGAGAAAATCTCTTGCTTGCGCGGCCTGGAAACCCAGCTTGGATCTGACTCAAGAGATGATTTTCACAGTCCCTGGTGTGTTACCTGCCAGTACTTCTGGCTTCTGCAAAATGAGCACACCCCCTCCCCATGCCCATCTCTCCCAGCCATCTTCAAAACCTTCAGAGCCACATAGGAAGTGGTAATTCGGAGAACCCACCGTCTCTCCTTAACTGGAGTGGAGAAGGCTGCTGTGGGAGAAGACCACCGTGGTCCCCATTTGTGCTGCCATTCCCCCATTTGCTTTCTGTGGAGTGAGGAAAAGGACCCGGCACCTCTTTGCCATGATGCGTTGTTGACCCAGGATCAGTGCTTGGTGGGGGAAACTGGGCACAGGGCTCCACCACGGCTGCCTTCTGTGCACATCGCCCCAGAATTAACGTAAGAAATGCTCACGAGCAGCCACCTTCACAGCCAACTGTCCTTCCAAGAGATGCTTTACCCCAAAATGTCCCCCAAGATCAAGCCCTTCCTGGGGTCCCCTAACCAATCTGGAAGCCCCAGGCAGTGGGGCGCAGGGGCTGGATGAGGACCAACGCCCAGGTTCAAGTCCAGCCTCCGTCACTGAAGCTCACTTGGGCTGGTCACTCTCTCAGCCCAACCTGCCCCAAAGAGATGTTGCTGTGGGGGAGGGAACCCCATGAGCTCCTGAATAAGGGCGGGGTAGAAATCTGACAAGTAAAGAAAGGTGACTTGGGAACAAGAGGTAGCTGAAAGGTGCTAAGGCTAAAATCCTGCCTGCTACGGGCCCCCTTTCTCTCGCCTGGGTCTTCACAGCCCACCGGGTGGGGCGGGAGACGCACTTGGGGGTTCAGCTGCCTCTCCATTTCCTGAACTTGCACCTGCCCCTCCGCCACGCAGGGGAGTTTTCAGTGCATAAACCACTCTGTAACTTTTTAACATTAATAAATAGTTTTGATGGGATAAAGCAGCATTGAGGAAGGCAGAAAGCAAGACCATCGGATCCAGCCATCAAAAAGAACAAACACGCTTGGAGGATCATATAACTCATATAGAAATAAAACCATATACAAAAGGAAACCAGTGGATATGACAGAAGCATCAAACCAACGAAAACGAGAAATACATTGGGCATCTTCAGGATCGCGTCACAAGACAGACCTCAAATGAAGGAATATGGGAAAAAACATCATTTTTCAAGAGCAGAGGTAGGGCAGTGAAATCTAGGCAAGGTGGGGGCTCTTCGACAATTTGGTCTGGAGATTTTAATTTTCCCAGCAATGGAGCAGAGAGGGTGAGAAGAAATGCACCAGACAGTTGAATTTAAAGCCATCTTCCTTGCCCGGCACCTGCCCTCCCCCTACAACACAACATTGTGTGGGTCACAGTCCAACATTGCTGGTGGGCTCCCGGGGGAGAAAGAGGGTTGAAGGCACTTTCAATCTGGGTGTGGTATTCTGGTCGACTCCAGTCATAATTTCTAAAAACTGCTTCCACACTTCATTATTTTACAAACACATGTGAAATTCTGAAACGCCAAATAACTACAAACGCTCTTCCTCAATGATTCTGAAGTTCAATAACTTTTTTTTAAAAAAAAAAGCTTCATTAAGCTGTAGTATTTCAAAAATACTAGAACAAGATGCCCAGTCTTGTAGCTTAATTTTTATTCTAAATCCATCTAGGCCAGTGTTTCTCAGCCTCAGCTACTTTAAGATGGGTGGACTTCAATTCCCAGAATTCCCCAGCCAGCATGGCTGGCTGGGGAATTCTGGGAGTTGAAGTCCACCCATCTTCAAGTTGTTAAGGTTGAGAAACACCGATCTGGAAATACTCATAAATGGCCTACATTCACACACCACACTTAACCAGGCCAGTGAAAGATCTGCAGCTGCATTGGCACAACATGCGAAGTTGGGTTAGTTTTAATCTTGCTTTTATTCTGCTGTGGCTACCTGAACCCGGCACATTTGATCAGTTCGTGACACCCTGTATTTCGCAAACCCATAAAAGACTATTAAAACTAAGCAATAAACATTCAGTATCCAGGTTAAGCATATTGTGGGGATTATGTTTAAAGTGTGAGAGAAGTATAAAAATCAGTTGTGGGCCTCCCACTCCTCACTTGCAGCATTTCATAGCGGAGTCTAAATTCTGTGCCCATTCTCTTGCTGTTAAAAAATAAACTTAAAAAAAGGCAGCCCTGAGTGATCATTATTTATCCCAAATGATTTTTCTGATACATGTATTTCTGAGTCAATGGAAATAAAAAAAGCAGAGAAGTCATCTCTCATTGTTAGAATTTCCTTCAGGAAATGTTTAGAAAGCAAGAAAGGGGTAGCTTAAGATGTACAAAACAGCTGGGTCCATCCTGGAATGCCCCAGTGTTTCCTGGAACAATCCCATTTTTCTTTCCCAGAACAAGACATGTCTCTCTCATTTCTGGAAGTCGTCTTCTCAGAATAAGAAACAGCGCTCAGAATTCCAGGTGGAAGACATGCTTCAGGAAACATCTCCAGAACTTTCAGATCGGCCCATTCCAGGGAAACACTGACCCATTCTGGCCATGGGCCCCTCTAAGGCCTGGTCCTAGCTATCTGCAAATCTCTCCAATCAATTCATCAGAGCAATCCCATGGAAGGTTCAGGACATGAAGACCGCCACCTTCTTGGCTGTCTGATTCCACCTGTCCCTGGGCTTCCACTTTGTCTCCATCTGGTCACATCCTACTCTTGTGCTCAACCGACCGAACACTCTGGACACAAAACTGGGTCTGGAATCTAGAAAGAGATTCTTGGGGTGCAGCTGGAGTGGGAATTGCCCGCATGCTAGATTTAACTGCCCTGCCTGAGAGAGAGAGGGATCAAAGACAATGGGAACATCGCCCTACAGGCTGAAGGAGGAGGCACTGTTTGTAGACATTCTGGTGCTCGGAAAGGAAGTGATCCCAGGACGATCTCCTTGGAGAACGAAGAGAACTCAGAACATCTCTAGGAAGAAATGCAATAAAGCCTGCTACACAGGAAAGTCAGTATCTATGGAAAAAAGTCTAGTTTTTTTTTCTCCTACTGCTTATAATGGTAACCTGCAAACAAACAAAAACAAACATTAAATCAGCAAAGACATCAGATTAAGCCTTCTAATTTTGCTGCATTTCCTATTCTGAAAGGAAGACAGGTGGAACCTCCTCCTGTTGTGTGCAAGGATCCTCCCCGCTCCCCCAATGGTTTGGGAATGACCCCCTGTGGCAAACTGGTCCACCAAGCAAACAAAACTCCATTTATGGTGGTAAGCTAAGAAGGACCATCCCAGCAAAGGCCACAATGCCGCCTTGTCCTCAACCTTCCTGGGAACTACCACCATAGAGGGTGTTCAAAACAAGTGGTGCAACCAGCTAGACTAGAGTCTCCAAGTCTGAACCATGACCATGGTGGCATGGAGATGGAGGGAGAAAGAGGGGAAGATGCTGGGGAGCAGCCGTGTTCCACTCTGCCTCGCCCGTCACAGCGTGTCTTTGGAGGGGAAGAAGGCCAGTGGCCACCTCCGTGGCCAACTCTATCTGTCTAAATTGGGGTTTGGCTCTCCTTCCACGGAAACCACAGAATGTCCTCAAATACTCCTTGATGTCTCTCTTTAGCTCAGACACAGGAGTAAACCCACAGAGCCCTTGGGGTGCATTGGCCATTTTTTTTAATGTGGACCTTCTCACATTGCAAAACAAAGAAATATAAACTGGGGGGCACACAATTCTATATAAAAAAGGGGGCCACTTCTCACCTTTATGAGCCGACTCTGATTTGGATATCTGATGTGCCAAGTTATGCTGATTTGTAAGACTAGAAGGATGATTCAAGTCCTTGGTCAGAGGTGCAGCAGCTCTGGCAGGGAGAGGACAGAACAGGTTAGGATCACAGCTGTTGACAACAGCCTGAAGAATGTTGATTCTGGGATCCTGAACCTGAAGTAGGTAGAAGAGAAGTTTCCCAACCCCATGCAGGAAGAGGTCTTGCTGAACGATGTTGGTGGGATACAGAGGTGGGAGAAGTGTCAGCATCAAACTCCTAATGGACTGGACTGTCCTCTTCCAAGAGAAAAGTTCTGCAGCATATTAAGAGTAGCACGGTGGGGCCTGAAGGCTGACAACTGGGATTAACATTAAAGACAAAACAGCTGAGACTTTGGCCCAGCCTTACTGAAAGGGTTAACCTGTGCTACCAGTGCAGATTCAACAGATTCAAACATTTCCTCTGCAACAAAATAAACATTTCCTCCCAACAAAATAATTCCCTGTACATAGAAAATTAGATGTTAGGGGACACTTAGAACTCTTTTGTCACATTTCCTAATTTTCTGCCTTCAGGGATTGGGGGGTAAGAGAAGTATCTCCACAAGGAGAAGCCTACTGAGATGAAAGCAGGGCCCACGACCAAACATCCTTTAGCAAAACACATGATTTCCTTCTGATGCACAGAGTACTAGACATCAAGCACTTACCGCGTGGGCTTCTCACTCCTGCCTCGATGAGGTTCATATCCTTCCCTTGACCGTGAACACGCAGACTCGTGGGGGTCCTGCTGGATACAGAAGAAAAAGCTATGCTGGGACCATCCTTCAGGCTATATGTCCATGAAGACAGAAGCGGAGCGCAAGATATGACACTCAGCATGTAATTTAAGGCCCTGAACATTTCAGAATATAGGTGCTGGTGCAGGTGGAATTGGGCTCATATGGGAAGCACTGGGGTGCCGATGGGATCTACTCTTGCTTTATAGGTGTGACTGGAAGTGAAGGAAGTAAGATCTTAGAAGCCCAGCATGAAGCTTTCTTGTTGCAAACTTTCAGCAGTCCTGGATTAGAGATGGAAGCTTTTCTCTTTGGGCTTCTTGGTCTGAATTCCCTGACATCAGCTATGGGGGGCGGGGGGGGAACACCCACACATATTTACGAATTGCCCAAGGCCAGTCTTAATTTTGGGTAAGGGATGGGATGGAGTCGGAGTGATTAATTCCCTCCCAAACAAAGGGTTTTGGGCATTCTAATTTTAATCAATCGTGAGGAACAGAAAACAAATTTCAGAAACATACTGGTTTTGAAACTTCATTTAAAAAAGGAGTATAAAAGAAACATCCAGATATAGCGAGAGGAAATCTCAAAATCAACCTTCCTCAACCTATCCCCATCCCAAATAAGTTGGGAGTTGAAAACTCAGCATGCTCTCCATAAATGATGGAAATGAGAGTTCAGCATGTTTTGAAGAAAGATGGTCTATGAAAGCATAATTCTTTACAGGGGAAATATAGGCCCTTCCTCCACTTTTAGCCTGGCCTCCCCCATGGGAGGCAGAGGAAGGTCCTCCCCAGAAGAAGCCAATGTCTTCCCAAGCTGAATTGTAACGCACCTTCCAGTCTTGGTCCTGCCTCTTCTTCTCTCGCTCCTTTGCTTTTTTGTAAGCTTTCTTCTCCTCTGCCATCAGAAGGCGAGCTATTTCCTGCAGGAAACAATCCATCCCAAAAATTATGACTTTTCGGCTCACCTCCCCACTTAAGATTTTCTCTGCTCATCAGTGCAGAGAAACACCCATCAGACCTGGTTGGAACATGCATGAAAACCACCACAAAACACCTTCTCTTCACTAAGAAGTTACTAAACAAACCCACAGGGAAATGTCATGGGGTAAGAGAAAGCCAGTTTGGGGTAGTGGCTGAGGGTTAGGCGAGAAGCTGGGAGATGGGAAGTTCTAGTCCCACTCTGGGCACAAAGCCAGCTGGGTGACCTTGGGCCAGTCCCTCTCTTTCAGCCCTAGGAAGGAGGAGGCCAGGACAAACACTTCCGAAAATCTTGCCAAGAAAACTGCAGAGACTGATCTAGGTAGACGCTAGGAGTCAAGATGGACTTGAAAGCACAAATGTTGTGAATTCAGAATGGAAACACAAGATATGCATATCTGAAGAAGAAAGTTTGCTTATATTTGATGATCAAGGTTCAAGGATTTCCTAGATGTGAGTCAATTTTGTACACTGATTATCTTGATTTTAGCCAAGCACCCCATAACATACCGATTAGAAAGCTAGCTAAGTCTGGGTTAGCTAGCCATGATAGGTATGTAGGTACATATTTTACTCAAATCTTACCCAAAGTATTTCCATAAGTGGTTCCTTATCAAACTGGAGAGGGCCCAGATTTAATCTTAGGCCCTCCAATATTTTTATTCATGAATTGCATGGAGAGGAGAGGAATGTTGATCAAATTCACTCTAGCTCAGTGTTTCTCAACCTTGGCAACTTTAAGATGGGTGGACTTCAACTCCCAGAATTCCCCAGCCAGCCATGGGGTGCCACTGCTCTAGCTAGTGCCCTCACAGACAGAAATACAATTGAGAACAATCTTGATAGAATACAACAGTGTGAAATTTAGTGATGACACTTGGGTGGCCTTGGGTCGGCCACTCCCTCTCAGCCCTAGGAAGAAGGCCAGGGCAAGTCACTCCCACAAACTTCAGTTGCCAAGAAAACTGCAGGGACTTGTCCGTGTAATTGCCAAGAGTCAAGACTGATTCAAAAGCACAGAGACACACAAAGGTCCAAGAGCATAAGGACAGCCCTGCTGGATGAGACCAAGCCCATCTTGGTCCAGGACTCTGTCCCCCCCAGTGGCCAACCAGATGCTTCCTCTGGGATGCATTCAAGCAGAAGATGATCGTCCTCTCTCCTGCTGTTGTTCTCCTGGAACTGGACTGGGAGGCAGGTTGCCCCCAGTCCGGAGGTAACATGGGGGGCAGACTGCCATCCTGGCTGCGGGGCCTAACACTTTCCTGCAGACCTCCAACCCACCTTCCAGTCTTGGCCCTGCCTCTTCTCCTCTCTGTTTGTGATTTTCTGACAGGTGAAGCCTTTCCTCGTCTCTGGTCCTGCGTTGCATGTGAGTTTTGCCCAGGGTTCACACTCTCCGTGCCCATGCATGCTTTTACGTACTTTGATCACGTCTGCCCCCCTCTTCAATCACTCTTTTCCAAGCAAAGAATCCCATGTTTTTTGTAGAGAAAGTGTTCAAAGCCCTTGATCATTTTGCTTGCCTCTTCCGCAATTTTTTCAGCCCTGCCACATCTTTTTTCAAAAGTTACAACCAGATCGGTATGCAATATTCCAAGTGCAAACATACCCCAGGCCTGCATAAGGACATCAGCAGTTTTGTTTCCAATTCATTTTCTAGCGGTCCTTAGCGTGAGATATGCCTCTTTTCCTCTGCTGACACTGAGTCAATACCTTCCCTGAGATCTGCGCCAGGACACACAAAATCTTTTTGAAAGAGCCCAGATCCCATTAGGGTTTGCAGGAATTTTTTGCTCCCACATGCCTCACTATGCTTAAACTGAATCTCACATGCCTTTTGACTGACCGCTCACCCGATTTAAAGAAATCCTTCTGGAGCAATTCACAATCTTTTTTTATTTTCCTTCCCCAAATAGTTGGGTGTTATCCACAAAGACCACGGAGGACAAACCACTTCTGCACTGCGGCCAAGAAAACGACATGAGTCACCAGGATATCTTGGCAGAAATGAGCTCTACTCAAGAGTTCCTCTCGTTTTATCTCGGTTTAATCCTTTAGGGACAGGATAATGGGCAGGACCTGACCTCCCCCAAAGGTGTACTGTACTAAAGGTGTCCACCTCCAAGGTGCCATAGTCAGAACCTGTGGCCACAGGTGGCTGAACAGCCGGGACACCCCCATTTGTTTACAACTCTCAGCACCAGCTGGCCAGCCAAGACCACACTGGAAAAGGAGTCTGGAGGTGCTGATACCATGCCTTTCCAGCTGCAACTTTTTCCTTCTCCTGAAATTTCTGCTCTGGATTATTCTGCATGCACCCTACAGCAGACACCTGGTATTTTTACCTGCCTGGACATTTTACAGCTCTGTATTTTTAGCCATCTTCTGATCTTCTTTCCAGCTGGGAGGCAGATGGCCAAAGGCCAAGGGGAGCAGCGAGGGTTCATGGAAGAAGGGCAGGGCCAGGCTCCCTGGGCCAACAATATTTCCAAGAGCTGAGTGGGGTTAAACCACAAAAGAGGCACCGGAGGAGCAACACACCTGGTGGTGGAGCCTCTGAAGCAGCCAAGGTCACCTGGGGCTTTACATTCCCCTTTCCTTATTTACACACCTGTGTCTGTAGGAACACCTACCTCATCTTGAGCAACTTGCGCGGCTCTCTTATCCACCTGACTGGCCTAAAAAACAAAGGAAAAGGGGAAGCTTTAAAAAGAGAGTGCCGAGAAGCCTTTTCCTGCAGACCTCCAATGCGCCCCCCACCCCTTTCTCTCCCATCCTGAATGGGGTGCTTCATGCACCCTCCCCTCCGCCTCCGCCTCCCTCCAACGCTCTGCGGCTCCAGCAGGAAATCTTCCCTTTGTCGTCTTCATCTGGCAGGTTCTGCTTTAGAACAACACGACCCTTTTCCCACTCCCGATCAGCCAGCGGGGTGACAAACCCTGCCCTGCTCACTACCCTCAACTCCCAGAGAGGCCAAACCCCTCCACAGTCACCAGAATGCTACTTTGCTTCCCGTCATTAGCCTTAGATGATATCAAAGAGAGGCGCAAAAGCAGCTGATGTGAAAATTGGGGGTTGGAAGGGCAGTTTGGCCCCGCTCACCAAGAGTTCCTCCTCCTGTAACTTCCAGGCAATCTCGGCGTCATAGAACTCGGGGTCCTGAGCAGCTGCTAGTCGGGGTCTGGCGTAAGCGTCTTCTTTTGCCCCCCGTGACTTCATCCCTGCAAAACAGGAAGTGAAAGGCCTCCTTCCCAGAAAAGACTTCAGAGCTAAAACCAGAGCCACCCAGGGAGACAAGGAAATGCTGCAGATGGTACAGACCGGCTTCTATTTTCGCTGCTGGTTTGCGCTTAGCTTTCCAGACGCCGGGCTGAGCAAGACGGGGCAGCTTGTGGTTGGGGCAAGTCTCTTGTGTGTCCAGCTCCAGAGCTCAAGAACCCCCAAGGACTCAACTACATGCCCCCATGAGCTTCTGCCCTGAGTTACTGTGCCCCCAAACCACTAGGTTCCCCCAAAGAGAGATCAAAGGAGCCGGGCATTTTTGCCCTTGGGGAAAGACAACTAGAGGTGGGGAGGTTTTATGGAGGAGGAGGAGGAGGTCCAGATCTGTCCTCCATCATTCCAGAGTGCAAGACGTGGAGTGATGGATTCAAGGCATGGGAAGGCAGAAGATCCCAGCTGAAGGTTAGAAGGAGAAACTTCCCCCAAGGAAGAGCACCGGGCAGAGGAGCCAGTAACCCAGAGAGGGCTGGGCTCCCCTTGGCCGGACGCGTTCAAGCAGGCGCTGGACGGCCACCTCTCCAGGGTGCTCGAACTTGGACTCCTGCTCTGACCTCTGGGTGGCCTCAAGGGCCCTTCCAACTCGAGGCTGGAGGCTCTGGCCACACCCTGCAATGATGCAGAGACTTCACCTGGAATTGCTTCCTCTTCTGTGTGTTAGGGCAGCGGCTCCAGCTGGGTCTGACTCCAGGCAGCTTCAAGCATGCAGCCATGCCCTTTTCTTGGTAATGGTACAGAAGCAGCTGGCCACTGCCTTCCTGAGGATGCATAAGTGAGTCCTGCCTTTTGCCACCCTTCTCCAACCTGGTTGCTTCCAAGTCCCAGAATTCCCCTAGCCAGCTTGGCTATCGCTGAGCATTCTGGGAATTGAAGTCCACACACTGGGGGACACCCTTGAACTGCTTGAAGCCCCGGGTCCCAGGGCCTGTTCCCAGGCAGACCTGCTCGCAAGGAGGCCAGTAGGGAGCCTAACCCTCCAAGCAGCCATGGATGGAGTGCAACTTTCCACATCTTGCCTTGCTTCCCCCTTGGGTGCTCCTGACCCGGGCCCGGAGGCTCCTCTGGCCCTACAGGCTGAGCCACGGTCTGGCCCCAGCTGTCCTTGGCTCTGTGGCAGAGCCTGGCTGATCAATTGCCCATGCGGGTATTTCTCAGGTTGGTCGGAGCATCTCTCCTCTGTCCAGGGAGCAAAGGAGGCCCTTTAGGAGGACCCAGGCAGGGAAAGCTACTGATGCCATCTGAGGAGGGGGAGAGCAACCTGGGCCTCTTCCATGCACTGGCTCTATCCTGGCCAGCCTGCAGCACCGAGGAGACCCCTGGGCAGACCCCTCTGCTCACAGAGCAGAGGCCCAGCGGGGGAACCAGGCCAGCCCACCTGAACCACATGCACCACTCTTGTGCAGCAGCTGAGCACGCAGCAGCATCTGCTGTGCAGGAGGCGTGCACAGCCCAGCTGCCGCGCTCAGGAGCTTCTCTGGGGAAGAATGCTGGGAGCAGGGAGCAAGGCAGATTTCCTGCAACGCCCACGTCCCCTGGCAAGGACCCAGCGAGAGCAATGCCCACAGGAAAAGGATGGGAGGGTCTATTTATAGACAGACTGGGGCTGTTTCAAACCTGGCAGTCGCTGCAAACATCCCCAAACTGGAAGGAAAACAAAACTAGGGAACTGAATTAATTGGACAGATGCAACCAGTTCCAAGCAGTTTGTTTAAGTCTTCCTGGGAACAAAGAGAAAAAGACAGGTCCCATCTGGGACTAATTTGCAGCAAGTCAGAGTCGGGAGTTGGATTCTCAGGTTTTGAAAGAAGAAAGTCTGGATGCTTTTTCTCACCCCAGCAGAGGACCAGCAGGCACCACCTTGCCCAGTCTGGGACAGGCTGAGGACCATCTGCTGGCTTCTGCTTCCTTGGGGAGTCCTCAAATGAGTAAGCACTTATGGAGCTCTGGCAGAAAATGTGGTGGTGGCCGCCCATTCCGGGGTCTGAGAGACAGCCTAGGTGACCCCTGACATGGGCACATTTCACCGGGGGCTCAAGGCCATTAACTGCTGCTGCCCAACTTCCAGTCATCTCATGGAACTACTGAAACCGCAAGAAAGCATTTTATGGTTAATGGCCCTAATCCAGCATTTCTCAACTTTGACAACTTTAAGATGTGTGAACTTCAGTGCTGGCTGGGAAATTCTGGGAGCTGAAGTCCATACATCTTAACGTTGTCAAGGCTTGGAAACACTGCTCTGATCGGTCTTAAATGCAGATCCTTTTCTGATCAGACGTCCTCAGATGTATTGGACAACAACCCCCCCTACAAAGCTGCAAGTGCTGGAACAATCGGGACTGGAGTCTAGAAGTTAGGTTAGGTTACTAGGCAAGACGCTTCCTCCTCCAGAATCCCCAGCCTCAACGTCCTGACGCTTCCACCCCAGAGGGACCACTCCACCAACGCCCGATGCTCTGCCACCTCAAGCAGCTGCACGAGATGATAGAAAGGCAAGCACGGGCCCCTTTGCACAGCTGCACCGCATCCTGAGACAGCTAAGGAAGCACACTGCAATTGGGGGGCTGCTCCGAGAAACTACCACATGACGTTGGAGGGATGCTCTTCCTTTTAAGCTGCTTTGGAGAGGGATCTGGGCTCTCTGTACACGGCCCAGCAGGCACCATGAAAAGCAGCAATGGCACGGATGCCGAAAGACAGCCAGAAGTGGAGTCATCTTTAAAATATAACAGCGGATCAACGTATCTTTCAGAGACTAGGAAAACACTCAATGTAAATACGACTGTTCTGTACGGAGCCCTCTAACTTCTTTTCCAGCCCGTTGGCATCTGGGTTCCCCTTAATCCGACCTCCGATCTCAAACCACTAATTGCAAGTTTCCTTTAGCTGCAGTAACGGCAACAGGAATAAGCTGCCAGAACTCGCCAAAGCACCTGCCTTGGCTTCCAGGCTCCGACTGACCCCAATTCAGCTCGGAGGGAGGAAGCCAAATAAGGGAGGCTCCAACCCTCAAAACAGTCCTTGTGGCAGAAACCCAAGGAATGTCTAACACATCTGCAATAGAGACAATGGTGCTGCCAGAGCAAGATGAGGTGCTGTAAGGAAAAAAAACTCTTACCAACCTGATGTGCACTTTTAGCACATTCCTGCCTCCTTGGAGGGCCAGGATTCTTCGAGGGCAGCAGCCGGACCCCTCTCGGCCTAACTGGGAAAAAGGGCCCTGGGATTTCCCGGAAGACCCAGAATCAGGCTCACGGACGCCCGTGGCCTCGGCCCCATTACCTGGGTTCCGGGGGTGGCTCGCTTCCCCGTTCCAGCCCTCCCTGTAGTGGGAGGCGGGGGAGGCTGGCGCCCCCTCGGGCTCTCTTTCTCCATCCTCCCTCCTGAGACGGCGCCCGTGGGCAGCTTCCGAGTCGTGGTGCCTGGCATGGCGGGAATGGGGCCTTGGGGAACGACGATCCTCAGGCAGTGGGAGCCTACGACAGTCCGGATTTGGGGAGCGGCTTTTGCTGTACGGCCGTTCTGCTTGCCTTTCTCTCCCATTGGTGCTCGAGTTTGGCCCCCTCTCCCCTTGCCTATGGGGCCCATTGCTGCGATGCGCGCTTGTCCGTTCCTCTTCCCAGTCCGCAAAAGGAGGGGGTGTCCTTGGGGGTCTCTCGCGGCTCTGAGGCCTCTTCTGATCCCTGATACCTCTGCTGGCCCGGGGGGCTTCTGCATCCAAGACCAGCGGCAGCGGCCCCCGAGTCCTTTCCTGACTGCCGGCGGGGCGGCTGTAGCCTCT